ATTAAAATGATTAATGTTTATTTCTTATTCATACTACATATCTATCCCCAGAAGCTCAGGGTGTTGCTCCCTTGTCTTCACATCCTTATTCTGGGACCCAGGCTGACAGAACTTTCTGGGACATTGTCAGTGAGCGTGGCAGAGGAAACAATGTATTCTGGGGAGACGCACACTGGCTCAGCCTGGAAATGGCCCACATTCTCTTTTATGCAACTCACTGTCCAGTGCTGGTCACGAGGCCCCCTCCAACATGAGAGCCCAGGAGATGTAATCCCACCGTGTGCCCAGAAGGGGGAGCTGAGGAGGGAGAAGGACTATTTGGCAAACAGCACTCAAGTCTACCCCAGTTCTGGATTTGGACTCTGGGTTCATATTCTAGTTCTACCAGTGGCTAGCTGTAAGCCTGGGACAGGTCAACTTTAATACTCAGTTACCTTGTTTATAAAATGAGTCATGCATTAAAGCCTTAGGACGTTGCCTGGTAATCATAATCTTAACTCAGGGCTTATTATAAAAAACTGTTTAAACGCCCCCCTACTCAGTTAAGATGTTCAAGATTGAGAGTCCCTCGGATCACTGTCTAAGACAGGGGCGGGGGAAGGATCAGATGGCCTTAGTGGTTTGAGTTTCTTTAACCCCCTGCGTAAATACGAAGGAACTGACCTGTGCACCATCTCTGGAAGCACCTTGGCGTCTGTCTGTCTCCCACTCCATGACCCACTCGCCTGGGGTGGGGGAAAGGGAAGATAGATACCTCTGGGGTTTCCATTTTGTTGTTATTGCTTCAGGATGTTGATCTTTCTCCCCCGTTTTTGGATGACAAGAAATGATTCATGTTCAGGGGAGGGATCCCATCCCTTCTTCCACTGACAGCAAAACTGTCAAAAAGCCCATCCCTATAAACACTAACCTGGCAAAGGAGACCAAGCCTCCATATGGAAAATCAAAGTAAGGGATCTGGCAGGGAGGCGCAAAGATGGTTTGAATCAGAGGCAGAGACAGCCCCTGGATATTGGGGTGGGGGCTTGGGGGCCGTCTGCACCCTCGTGCCAAGATGGCTGGGAACCTGGGCCAGTGACTTTCCATTTGCCGGGGGGAAGGCAGGCCCTGTCTGCGCTGGGAGCCAGATCATGGCAGGTCTCTGGTTTAAATTCGGCTCATCGGAGGGTCCTCCGAGCTAATTGGGAAGGAGCCGGGCTGTGTTTTCTTTCCTGCTTAATAACAAGGGGGATTGCTTACAGCTCTGGACTTTATTAGGGGGGGAATTTGACATTGTTTTGTTGGACAGAGGCTCCGTCCAGGGAGCTAATCTCTCACACCTGTTTGGCTTTGTTAAGGAGCCAAGGGGCCCTGGCCCTGCTTGCTGTTGGTTCCTGCAGAGACTGATACAAGGGGAGGAAGGGAGGGGACAAGAAGGAGGGCGAGGATTTTCCTCCTCACTCCTAATTCTTAAAATCTAGCGCTAAAGAGGATTCAAATGCCAGTGATGGAATTAATCAATGGGACACTTGCATCTGGATCAGATCCATCCAACGGGACAATCCCCTAAATACTTATGAAGCATCTACATTCTACAAGGCACTGTCCCCTGCTCGCAGCAAGTGAGACAGGCAGAGCTCCTGCCCTTTGGGAAGTCAGACGCTGCTCACCCCAAGACAGAACTGGAACATCTCTCATGAGTCTAGGAAGCTGGGGCGCTGGGGGGAAGGGCTGCCTCTAGGGGCTGCCGCTGGCTCCCTGCCTGAGCTCCTCCCTTCACTGGAGAAGCTTCCAACATTATATGCTATTTCACAAGCCCCCAGAATCCTGCCGTTTATCCTTTGGGAGGAATTTTATCCTTTTCAGGGGCCCTAAAATAATGATCAATGGAACCTTCAGGAACTCTTCAGAGAATATAAATAGGCATATATTCCTGCAGGAGAATGGAAAGGCCCTCATCCTGTAGGGTGAGCATTGGGCAAACCCGAGGTCCTTTGGTTACCAGTCACCCACATTCTCCCTTCTTGTCACACGGGCGCTGGCGAAGGAGGAAATCCATCAATGCTGGAGGAAGGAGCCAGCTGAACAGCGGAGGGAATAATCAAAAGATGCTGACCCTCGTGGCTAGAAGAGGGCCTCCCTTCTCCCCCACACAGGGATCGATAGCTCCGTCACTTGACCTGAGGCATCTGGGTTTGCACCTCTGCAGGGCCAGCTGCAGCACGCATGGGGCCTATTGCAAAATGAAAAACGTGAAGCCTTGGCCAGGAGAAGGGAAGTCATGGGCCCGCAGCCCAGACCCACAGTGAACATGCAACCTCCACTCATGACTTGTTTCGAATCTGGACTGGGGATGGTTGGGAGGCCCCCTCCTGTCCCCCAGGTGGGAACAGTCGGGGCCGTCCTCACTGGAGAAACCCAGGGTGTGCACATGACCTTGTCCCTCTGTGTGCCTGCATCATGGGCATGGAGGGTGATGACAGAACACAAGATAGACTTTCCTTGTCTACAGGACCCAGGGGCTGCTGCAGGTGGCAGGGGTGGCAAAGGGGAGGACAAGCAGACCCAGAGCATCAAAGATGGGACACAGGTGGTCGGGAACCCATGTCCCAGGGAGGCCAAAAGGTAGCAGGAGGCTGGGCCACACATTAGCAGAGGCCCCAAGGCCCCAGGAAATGCTCCATCCGACTCGATTTACAAAGTGCAAATTCAAAGACAAAATTATTAAGAATTTTAAGACGGCATCCGCAGAGCATTAAACCCAGAGCATGGGCCCTGGGGATGTCCCTGGCTGACCGCACTGGTTGCATGCCCAGGAAGCCAGCCCTGATCAGCTTCGCGACTTACAAGCAGAAAAAGCTTCAGACTGTTACCTGGCCTCTTGAAGCAGGAATTTCTTCATCTACAAAGTCGTGAAGATGAGAGCATTTATCTCAAAGGCATGTTGTAAAACCTTTAAAGTGATCGTGCACTTGAAGTGGTCAGAGCCTGGTACCTAAGAAGCACTCCTAGCCATGATCATGACTATAGATTCACCTGCTTGCTCTTCCATACTCTGACGTACGATGGGAGTTTTATTTTTCTCCCATCTAGTTCTACCAAGGGGCCCTCACTCCTTCATTCTGCCCTTTTGTTGCTGGTGGCAGGAGATTTTAAGGTATCTAGCCAAGCTTCAGGAGGAGACCTACAGGGAAGAATATGGTGCCATCTGCCCCCTATACACGCACACACACACACACACACACACACACAATGCCCTCATTAACATTAAATGTTGATGTGGACTTTTTTAAGCTCCTCAAGACTAGGGTTCTTTGGTGATGCTTCAAGGGTTCCCATGAGCAGACAGCTGGTTATAACTGGCCACTGCCTCCCACTCTGCCCATAGAAACTGGCCTTTTGGTCTGAGTTATATTTTGCTATTTCATATAGGATTTTGCTTGAAAGACTGAAACGGATTCTGTGAAAACAAGTGCTCAAATGAACAGAGCCATAGGGCCAGGACTCAGATCCTGCACAGATATTCGTCCACTGAGTCTGGTTCTCTGGCCTGGTGACTGCGGACTTTGGAGCAGTGGCTATAAGTGGGCTGGCAGACCGGGCCAAACCTGGGCTCTAACATCTGGGTTCCTGGCCCAAAGAGATACAGTTAGGAAGTGTGACTGAGGTGACAGCTGCACTTTCAGGTGCCAAAGCGCCTTCTTTTCCCACTGCACTGCCTCCTCGCTTAAACTCAGGTTCCGGAGCGATGGGGCTTAGTAGAAGAGCTACTCCCAAGCGTGTTGTTCGATCCTCCCTTGAGAGACACTGGGATGGGCTTTGGAAGAGCTGTGTTCTAGTCTTAGCCACCCACAGCCGTGTGACACTGGACAAGCTACATAAGCCTCTCGAGCCTTAATACGCTCATCCAGCAGATGGGAACACTCTCTATCTTGCCTTTTTCTCAAAGCCCTTACGACGCTCACATGATACAGTTTGCGCAAAACTCCTTTTGGAAACTATAAAGTACTACTCAGATGGATGACAATTTTAAGGATGGGCTCTTGCCTCCCTTGCCTGTCCTTTGATGAACCTTGTTCCTGGTGACCCTCACAAAACAGTAGGGCAGGTAGGAACAGCCCGTACTGTGTCATTTTTCTAGCAATAGCGTCTTTCACTGTTTTATGATCTGCCTCCACTAAACCTTAGTTAAGCGACACACGTGCAAACACACACATATATGTGCACTTCTATTTAATTATCACTCTCTAAGCCATTAAAGTGACCTGCTTTCCTTACATGCAGTTATGCTTTTGAACAGTAATGTGTCAGTAAATGTTTAGCAACCAGCTCTCTGAAGAAAATGCATTTATATTTATACACACATAAGTAGATAGTAAGTCGTACTGACATAAAGGATGACATTTGCTAATAATTCTAAAATGTGCAATACCCTTCAATGTAAATTCTGCACAGCAAATTGACTCTCAAAAAACATTTCAGACTTTTCTTTGGCAGTTGAGGAAAGAGTATAATTCTGACACGAAGGCTGGTTGATAATTTTCATTTTTGTCGAGGAATGAGATGAAAGAATGAAGACGTATGCTGGAACCTCACTTCAAAGACCATGATATGATTCCTTCATTAGATCAGAGAATCGTTTTTGAATACTGGGAGAATATTTCCTGGATCTGTATCTGTTGGCTACTCACGAGGTAACACTATAGACATGATACACTTTAATGGTTCATTTGCGTTATTATTTTCTCCATCGCTCTTAGTCTGGGCACTTACAAAACCATAGATCAAATCCTGATTTGTAGTATTTTTGGGTTTCCATGGCGTTAACGTTACCATCATGACTAAGCTAAAAATGTAACAACACTGAACACAGAACAGGGGAGAGATGTGTAGTCATCAACCATCATACGGTATTTCTACCAAATGGACACAAGCGATGTAAATGACCTCAAGGGTACAGACAATAGTAAAATGTTGCAAAATAATAAGGAAGTGATATTCCTCGTCAGCTTTGTTTTTGATATGATTTATTTAAGTGTTAAGTTTACAGAATTTAACTTCTAGTAGTGGCCGTGCTTAAAAACTGGCTTGCAGAATTCTGGTGGACTGGATGGTCAGCCCCCATGAGTGAGGACAGGCTGGCTCCAGCCCAGCCCTGCATATTTGTTTTTCTCTTCTTGTGCATTTGGAATTTTTCAACATTCAAAAAGAGTTACTGAGCTAGATGCTGGGGATTCAGTGCTACCATCCCTGTCCTTATGGAGTTTCCCATCTTCTGGAAAAACAAACAAATAGAGCAGTGATTTAGAGCCGTTTTCTAAGTGCATGCTTGTTTTTTTTTTTTTTTTTTTTAGTTACAAGATCAAAAACTTCTGTTTGGCGTTCAAGTGCCTATCCGTCTCACCATTTCCCAGTTACGTTCTAGGTTTGGCTTTTTCTGTCTTTGCTTTCCAGGCTCCCAGCTTAAAAAAAAAAATCTTTCTCTCAAGGAAGAACTTAGGGTAAGACTGTGGCGCTAAGGACCATGAGGTGCTGTCTCCAAGCTGGCCTCTGACGTCTGACTGTAACGGGCCCGGCACCCTCCCCATCTAGAGGAGACGTGATAAACACCTTGCGATTTGTTCGGACTGCAGGAACCCCGCTTCCTATACCCTTAGAACCTATTCCTGAGACTTGCACCCTCTTCCACGGGCAAGTGCAAATTGTGGATCCCAAGCAGAGACCTAAACACATGAATAAAAGTTATAAATTACCCACTTACCCTTTGTTGAGAATAAATGCCCATCACAAGGGGACTAGTTAAAATCAGATATACTATTAATACATTCGTAGGGTAAATGCAAGTTAATAATGAATGTGGAAGCTCTTTAAGTACCAATATACGACAATTTCTGAAATGTGTTGTTTAAGAAAAAGGTGAGACGCAGGGAAGTCTGTAGAGTGCACTCCTCATTTTGTAGATTCCCCTCAAGCCGGAGACTTTCCAAGCCTCGGTGACACCTCTGCTTATGTGAGAGGGTGGAGAGCTTGGAGAGCACTGGTCACGTTGCTCAGGAATGGCTGCTTGTATGTGTGTACATACACTCACATGCACGCACACAGACGCAAGGAGAGAAAACCTCTCCTCACACCTGAGAAGAGGCTGTTCCTCCCAAAGAGTCAGCCGTGAGTTCTCTGTCATCGTTCGTAATAGCTCCTGAAATGACTTGGAGAACTTCAATCACGTGAGGGCTTTCTTTTCAGCTGCTGTTATCTTTTGAACTCCGGGAGCGGGTGGGGGAGCAGGCTACCCCGCAGCCCAGGCTTTTTCTAAAGAGCCTTTGTCTCTCTCTGCCCAGGTATTAAGTTGGTGGCGCAACAATCGGAGGTATATTCGGTTCACTTTTCTCGCTGCCTCCACCCCCCCACCCCCACCCCCTGCTCCGAGCACCGTCCTGGCTCTGAATGTGGGCCTGTGTTCTCCGGGTCCACCGTCCTCAGCCCTGCGCAGGGGACTAGGAGAGAATGGGCCACAGGAATGCACCCAGAACAGAGCCAAATTGTTCAAAGCCGCATGAAGAAGAAAGAAAAAAAGGATGGGGGGGGATGGGATTGGGGGGGCGTTGGGAGAAGAAGAAAAGCTTTTCTTGTCGGCTCCATTTCTGCGGAGATATTTGGAGGATAATGCAGCAATTTGGAGGGGAGGGGCACGAGGGGAGCAAGAGACCAGAGAGCCGAGTTTTATCGGCACCGTGGCCCGTACGGGAAGGTGACATTTGAGAGAACAATTGTGAGGTTGTTTGCTGCTATGAATGGAGCTTCAGAAAAGCTGTCTTTGGATTGCTGCTAATAGTCATCTTCATCATTCCTGCACACACACTCTCTCTCTCTCTCAGTTCCCTTATGAAATAAGGGCACACGGGTAATAAACAAAGCACTATAAAAGATCAGATCGAGGTATTCTGTGGGCTCATTCAAACTACACACCACCGTTGGAGCTTTCAGCCTCGGGAGCAGGTTCCAGACTGAGGCGGAATTAGGCGGGACCCCCTGCACCCTCTCTCCACCCCGGCTGAATTGATCGGGGCCATGTCCTTGGTCAGCTAACCCGCCCCCGACCACCGAGGAAAACATGGCAGGATAGATTCCCCTTGGATTCTGCTCATTTGGATTTTGGAGTTTGCCCTGACTTTGTCAATCCTCAGGCCAGATCCAGGTGAGTAGCTACCTGGGTTAAAAAAGCCGTTTGTCAGTCGAATCTGACTTTTTCCTCCCCCACAGCTGCTTTGACAGATGATCCAGTCGTGACTCTTCTTTTCTCCTCCTTTTGCCACGGTGTAGGCACTGCTGGCGACAGCCGTCTCCCAGCTGAGGCCTGCCTGGCTGCCTGCCGCAGGAGGAACAGGCCAGACTGCCAGGGAATTGCGTTCATGTGTGCGGATGAGCTGGGTGGGCTCGCTGGATCTGGGGGGATAATCAGCCATGAGTGTTTGGAGAGAGGTAGAAATGATTCTTCTCCTGACAAGCGAGCTTTCTTCTTGCCTTGAGTCCTGGCCGAGCCTCTTCCGCCTGCCTTCACCTCCTCCGTAATTCTCCTTGGCTTTCAATTTGCAAGATTCACCATCAGTGAACAAGGGAATTCTTGGCCCTGTCTGGTTTCAAAGACAAGTAGCTTGGGCATCGGGGAACAGCAGGCATCAGCCCCGGATCTGGTTTCCTCCCACGAGCTGGTACCCAGTGTGTGCCCTTGTCTACAAAGTTCATCCACATGCAGGTGCTGGTGAGCTGGGCTCCGACAGGCTGGACCTCTGGGTTGACAAGTAACTAAAGATGAATGAGGGGACCCCATGGTTTTGGGGGGGGGTCTCTGTGCCTCATCAGAGCCTAGCCATTCTTTGCTATTTGTTCTCCTTTTCCTGGATCATAACCACCACTGCTGGGAATATAATCTAGGAATGAAACACGATGAAATTGTATCAGTTTTGCAGAGAGAAGTCTAAGGCTTGGATGGGTTTGTGCCTGTGCTTGTGCGTGGACAGGCACAACTGAGCGTGCTGTGCACACTTCAAAGGTTCGCTTTACAAAGCCTCAAAAACGCCTGTCTTGCTTACAGACAGTGTAATAATATCAGGCGTCTAGTTCCAGGCATCGTAAGGAGGAAATTGTTCTGGCAGCTGTGTATTTGCATCTGTCTTGTCATTAGCGAATAATACTTCAGTGTATAGTGCTTCAGCGTATACATTCTGTATGATTAGTCTCTCTTCTGTTTATGCATTTAGCCTCAGGACTTTAGGTGCTTTCCGAATAATCCGTTTATTATTAATTACTTTTAACTTCCATTTTGCGAGTAGACTGAGAAATGGATTCATCAGGGATTCCAGTTGTATCCCAGTTGTTACAAAAGAAGGCTTTCTGGAATTTAACTAAAACTTCGACTTCACAGATGGGCAAGACTCTGTGTGTGTGTATGTGTGTGTGTGTGTGAGAGAGAGAGAGACAGAGACAGATGACAGAGAGAACACACACTATGAGCGTCATATACAAACAGTGCTATATTGCTTGTTCTGTTCAGGTGTGTGTATGTGAGTATAAAATTACTGTGCTGGAGAATAGAGTCATTGTGCCTTGGTAATTCGGATGCAGGCTTTAGATCCTTCAGCAGAGGCGCCTGTGACAGACTGATGCATGAGAAATGAGGCTGGACGCTGCAAAGACACGGTAGTAATTCGTACGAACGGGGTTATATCTAATACTTCGTAGATGTATTTCACAGACATGTGCAAAGTTTACCACCCTTAGGTCTTCTCAACAATGAACCACAGATGCTTGAAAGCTTTCCCAATTTGCCATCGCATAGAAAATGTCCTCTTTATTTGTTCAGCATTGATGCTTTCTTTCCCAGGCTTGTGTTTTTCAAGCAGCACTGATTTCTCTGGAAATATCAGGATGTTTCATATGGCTGCTCCAAGAGAAAGCTGACCGACACAGCAGGGAATCAGTAACTGTCTGAAGAATAAAGGAACGATTGAATAATAGTTCCTGAACTGTAGGTAACGGCCACCCCTGTATTTATTTATGCACGCATGTACTCTCTGGAGTAGAATATTTACAGAGTTATTGGACTAGCAGTCTGGACTCAATTGGCAAATTCTTTTAATGTCTCATTTAGTTCATCAGTAACTTAAATTCAGTTCATCGGCTGATCGCTTTGGAACTAGGTAAATATATCGCCCATCTTTCCATCCTCCAAGTTTCCTTCTTTGTACATCACCCAACGTCATCTCTATTTAATCAACATATATTGGGCAGGTTAATATTAAGGCCTCACTTTCTTTGAGACTACGATTTGAAATATGTCTGCAGTGTAAGTACGTGTTTACTAAGCTGTGGAACAATTTAATTTCTTCTCGAATACATACCCATAATTTCTGATGGGAGCCTAGAATGGCCAGGAGAGTGGCAGCACAGAAGTCAACAATTATTATTCAGATAAGGTGAAGAGAGGGGGGGGAAAGACATCATTGTGGAGAGGTCTACATGAAGCACAATCTGCAGCAGTATTCCAATAAGCACTTTGCCCAAATGACACTGGGTGAAGCAGTTACCAAAGGCGTCTGGCCCCAGACATCTCCCTCATACAGACTTATGGGGGTATGGGGACCCAGGGCTCAGACACATGCATTATTCACTGTATTTTTTTTTCTCTGCTTCTTAGACTTGTGGGTAAGGGCGACATTAAGCGCTGGCCCAGCCACCTTCTGAAAAACCTTGCAAAATGCAGAACACAAAACACATAGTCTTGTGTTTGGGGCTCTGAGAGGCTCTGAGGTGACCCGGTGCTTGGGAAGATCCAAGAGCAGATTGGCTTGTGGCCGTTACTGTTGGCTAATAACTGCGCTAATCTTTCTGAGGGGAGTTTCGTGTGCATGCACAATCCCCTCTCCCTCAACCCCCAAGTCGGAGAGCAACAGAGGAATTGTGTTTCTGCACTATTCCACGAGATAGGTCAGGGGACAGGGTGGATAAGGTCTGCGATGGATGACCCACTGGGCATTAGCCCTGAGCCATTGTGAATGAACCCGAGGTCTGGGCGATATGGCATTGGCCGAATTATAGGGAGACATCAACAGCTAAGTCATTTGAACAGCAGCTGTTTCAAAGTTGGCAGATCCAGTGCCCTTTGAGGGTGTGTGTGTGTGTGTGTGTGTGTGTGTGTGTGTGTGTGTGTGTGTATGTAAGGGAGTTGATGGATGTGTATATCCTTAATGTTAAGACAATCTACAAGGTTATCTGTGAGGGGACACGACCTCTAATGTGGAAAGTGTTATTTAAATGTCCAGTCGTGACGAGGATGCTCCTTATAATTTGGAAAGTGCTTAGTAAATACTTATGCCTAGAAGTTCAGAACCAGAAGCCAAAGATTTATAAGATCCAAAGGGCAGGTAAACCTCCCCAGGACGTCCATCACAGTGTGTGCTGATTTCCTGTACTCTCCCCAAAATGGGGCACAATTATCATGTCAAACATCCTGAGCTCACCATTTTGTTTTTCATGAATTTCCATGGACCAGCGGTTCAAATGCCAGGCATCGTGACAGCAGGGTCCATGCCGAAGGCGCAGCTGGGATAAGCGCTGAGGATTTTACTTTTCCTCTGCCTCTCTGCCCTGGGAGTCTGCAGTGTCCACATCAGGGCTAAGGCTCCTCTCTCTCCATCTGCTCCCTGTTAAGCGGCTGCTGGGTTTAGTAACAAGAAGGCCGGCGTGGCTGATGGACTGAGCGTGCCGTTGAGTGTAATTTGGCAGGGGTTGCACGCTGGCATCGGAGGGCAGGGAAAACGAGAGGAGGTGAGGGTGCTCCACAGGGCGGGTGGCAGGGCTGGCCAAGCTAGCTGCCCCTGGTGGCAGCCAATGCCCTTGGGAGGCTCTGATCTGAATGAGACAGAGAGCCAAGCAGAGACAGCTTCTCGCGCTCAGACCCCGGGAGTTCCCCAGCCTGCGTTTTCCAGCTCCCCGCGTACATTTCCAAATTAAAAAAAAAGTGTGGAAAAGTACAGTAAAAGTGACAGCGCCTTCCCAGTTTCCGACAGTTCTGTTTTGACTTTGCAATCAGCCAAACTGAAGCCCCCGCGGAGGAGCTGGTGTAATTTGTCACCTTGAGTTGTTAACCGTTTCCCTGCCTCTCTTGGTGGGTGTCCTTCTGGCTCCTGGCCCCCAGCGGGCTCAACGACCTGCTAATCCTGTGTCCTTTCTCTCAGGCTTGTGGCTCTGCCTGAAGGGCCTGGTTTCTCTTCCTGGAGTCCAGTCTGAAGTCACCTCACTGTCACCACTCTTGTTGGTTTTGGCCAAGAAGTGGCTGAAACAGAAGGGTGATGGGTCAGGGAGGGAAGGAAATGTCTCCAGAATCAGTTCTCTGATGGTTCAGACTGTTCCTTAGAGGTCCAACCGTTTAATCCATTTTTCTTGGTTAAGGGCCAAACGCGGAGGAAGGCTCATCTCAGAACTGGGATAGCTGAATACACGTATGTATACGCATGACTGGGATGTGCTGTGCACCGGAGACAGACACACTGTAACTGACAGTACTTCAATTAAAATAAAATAAAAAAAAAAGAACTGGGATAATCTACAGGGAAACAGATGGAGAGCTAATCTTCTCTCTCCATTTTCCAGCATCTCTTTGGTACCACATACCTTTATTTTGTCACTTCGGTACTCAGAATTTTCTTGGTAATAATACCAGACCTTCAGGCCATTACTGAATGCTTCCTTTCTCCTCCATATTCCCATATTCCCAATACCACTGTCCTCAAAGCCTTGTATTTTTGGGCCATCCAACTTATTTATAGGAGAAATTAATCCAAATTAATTCTTTGGGGGCTTCTAGTTTAAAGGGTTACTCAAAAAAGTGAATCTCAAAACTTACATCTTTTAGAAACAACTTGGATTTAAATTTTTTTTTAATTTAAATTTTATTTTTTTAAATGGTGGTAAATTTGCATGATTCATAATTCAAAATATAAAAATGCATAACAGTGGAAGCTTCTCCTCCAATAATTCAGGTCTTTCTTTGGAGGCAACACAAATTATTAGTTTATGGTCTATTCTTCCAAAGATGTTTCATGAACATGTGAGCCATCATATAATCTCTACTCCCTTCTATTTTTAATGCGTTTTATTTTAGAAAGGTTTTAAATTTAAAGTTGCAAAGCTGTTGCAGACTTCCTATATATGCCATCACTCGGTTCCCCCTTTTGTCAACATCTTGTACTTCTACATAAACTGTTATGTTTGTCACAGCTAAGGAACCAACATTGGTATATTATCAATAACTAAATTCTATAATTTATCAGATTTTACTAGTTTCATCCCAATGTCCCAGCTCTGGTCCAGGATCTCATCCCTGATACCACCTTGCCATGTTTCCTCAGCTTCCTCTGGTCTGTGGCAGTTTCTCAGACATACCTTCTTTTGATGACCTTGACAGTTTTGAAGAATGCTCCTCAATTTGCATTTGGCTAATATTTTGTAGAATGTTCCTCAGTTTGAGTTTGGCTGTTATTTTTCTCATGGTCTGCCAGGGTTATGGAGTTTGTGCAGGATGACCTGAGAGATGAAATGCCCTTCTCATCACTGTATCAAAGGTACCCGGTATCCATGGACTTACCAGTGATGGTGTGAACCTGCTCACTTGGCTGAAGTGGTGTCTGCTAGGCCTCCACACTGTAAAGTCACTCCTTCTCCCTTCTACACCGTAATTCTTTGGGATAATGGCACTAAGTTCAACCCACACGCAATGGGTAGGGAGTTATGTTTTACCCTCTTGAAGTTCCTTTAATTTCTAACAATTTGGCAGCATCCTCTCCAGGCTTTCCTGTGTCTCACCATTTTTTAAAACAACGTATTTCAGAGATTGTACTACATTGGTACTTAAAGAGCTTACACATTCATTATTAACTTGCATTTATCCTACGAATGTATTAATAGTATATCTGATTTTAACTAGTCCCCTTGTGATGGGCATTTAGGTTGCTTCAATATTTGGGGCTTAATAAACAATGCAGGAATAAATAACCTGGTTCGTGTTCAAGTATACCTGTGGGACAAATTCCTGACAGTCGAATTGCTACTGAAAGAGAGCGTGATTTGTAATTTCTCAAGCTACTGACTAGTTGCCTTCAAAAGACAGGGAACTGATTTATACTCACCTAGTAATGTATAATCAAAGTGATTCAGTGGATGGAATTTCCAGTTGGTGGAGGAAATGTTTTTAAATTGTGGACCATTCAATGTTTTGGCCAATCTCCTTAAATCACAGCACAACAGGAAATAAAAAAGTATAAGGAATCCAATTATTTAGTTGCAACTTGGTTTGTGACTTAATTTAAGGCATCTACATGCCGAAGACTTCGACCTGGTTCCTTAACTAGGCTCCCCTTCATGCTAGTTTTCTGGCATGCTCTTGAAACCTTCTTATCTTTGCATAGAATGTTCTTTATTCTTTCAAGTTTCTCCCCTTCTTCCCCAACTCTCCATGTACCCATTGAAAGCTCACATCTTGGTTAGGGTCATGTGGCTCATTCTCTGTCGTTTTAGCACAAATGAACTCCATTTGCCTATATTATTTGCACCCACGTGTTGCTATGCTCAGCCTCCCAAGTCACTGCTATGCTGAAGAATGGTTTTACCCTCCAGGTGTATGGGGAATAAATACTCTGGGGTAGGGGACTGTACCTCCTAATTATTGCATCACTCCCCAAAGGCTTCAGAAGCCAATGAGAAGTGAGTTCATATTGTTGGTAGAATTACTGATGGATCCTCTTCTTCATCTGCTTCATCATCTGGTAGAGGAAAGACGTGGGAGGAAACCATTGCTGGAAGGATATCTGCCTACCCCTGGATTCCTGGTGCCCATACTCTCCCCTCAGAATAACACGAGAGGGACAAATATTTTCTTTGTGGCTAAGTGATAATTTCTCGGGGGCGGTGAGAAGTAGCTCTAAAGGTCACTAGGGAGATCTAAAATTATCTGGAAATGTTGCAAATCGCCAAAGACCAACTCTGGGCTCCAAAAGACCTCACGGATTGGGGGGACCATGGCTTCTCTGATGTGTTGGCCCTGGGATGCTGTGAATTTATTGACTGCCCACTGGGAAGGCTCCCCACTCAGCCTTACACCAGGCTCCTCTTGGTGCCAATCCAAGTTGAAGCAGAACATTCTGCTCTCGTGTTGGTTTTCTTTTGTCTGAGTCTAAAACCTAGCCTCCATAAGATCAGAACACTGAGAAGGCTGGAGTCCCTACACTTTGGAACAATCCTTTTAATTTGTCTACAAGAGAAACACCCCTCCCCCCACTGCCCTTCTTCTTCTTTAACCCCCTTACCCATTTCCATTGACATGGTTTCTGTGCCATTTGGTTCTCATCCATTCAACCTACTTAAATTATGAGATTTTCAAATTGGAAGGTATCTTGGAACCCCAAGGAAAAGACCCTCAGAAAGACAAAGTCTCTCTGATGGTCACAGAGCTGGTGGAAGAAGCTCAGGGGTCAGCGTAGACAGGTCTCTAACAGCCTCAAGCTGGTTTCTTTCTCTCACACCCCCTCATTCAGCAAGTGTCCCATAACAATAACAGTAATAATAGTGATAACCATGGCTGACATTTACTGAGTACTTTCCATGAGCCTAAATGCTTTCCCTATGTTGTTTCCTTACAACAGCTCTCTAAGGCAGGCAATTATCGTTTTTGCCATTTATCAGATGATAAAATCGAGGAAACAGTGGTTAAGGTACTTGCCTAAGATCGCATGGCTCCTAACAGGTGAAGACAGGACAGTCAGACTGCAGAGCGTGCACGCTTATCACAGTTCTTACGCCTTGGCGTACTGCATTTCATGGCAAAGTAATGTATGGAACAGGCAACATTAGGTTTTGCAGAGGGGATCTGGCCGAAACAGTCTCTGCCCTTGAGGATCTTCATTCTGCTCAAGGGCCAAGACGTGGCAATTGGGGTGCTGATAAACACAGAACACCCAGTTACATCTGAATTCCACACGAACATTAAGTTTTGTTTGTTTGTTTTTATCTAAATTATGTCTCAAACATTGCATGAGA